TGCCTTTTACACCGTAACGCTATACATGGAGTGACTCTTAGGCCTTGTACAGAGTAAACGTCATTTTATTTTTATTTTATTTCTTTTTTTCTCGTTTCTTTCTTTCTCTTTCATTTCCATATTCCCCTCATTTTTATTTTCATTTTTTTTTACATTTTCCCTTATTTTCTCTTTTTCTTCGATATATTTGTTGTTTTGCAAGTCTTCCTTTTTCTTTTGTCTTCCCTTCTCGTTTCCCTTGAGCTCCCTTTGCCTTTCTTTTCACGTTGCCAACGTTTTAAACGGCACTGACGAAAAACAAAAGCTGCCACGATCGCTCACTTTAAACTCAAATAAATATCCATAGTTAAACTCCATCCTCATCTCCAAGCAGCAATCTCCTTACTCTCCCTTTCATCTTGTAAACTTCCTCAGCTATTTATTACTCTCCCAATTCCTTACTCTCCGAAACCCTTACTCTCCCAATTCTTACTCTCCGAAACCCTTACTCTCCCTATTTATTACTCTCCCAATTCCTTACTCTTTCTTTTCCATGCCCTCTGCAGACACCCCGTCCTAAAATTTAATTTAATTTTCTTTTCGATTTATTCTTTTGTTCTTCACCCGGCACGCTATTATTTCGGACTAACTTCTACGTACCACTTTCTTAATAGTCTAACGCCCACTTCTAAATAATAATGCTTTTTTAGGGTGCGTGTGGAGAGCTCGTAGGGGGGCTCTGATAAATAAATAAATTTAATATACTTAAAGCATTAAAACTGGTATGCCATTTTTACGACTGATTAAATAACTGGCACTACTTAAAATGACTGGTCCGTTTGTATCAAATAGAATCATTTTTTTTTTTTTTTTTTGGAAGGGAGTGCGTATAATTTTGGTAGATTAGCATTAATTAGACCGCTTCCCCAGTATTCTAACGCCCTATTCTAAATAATTCTTTTTCACGGGTTGCACGCAGAGAAATCGCAGGGTGCGCCAATAAATAAATAAATAAACTTAATACAATTAAAGCATTAAAAATGGTGTGCCTTTTGTTACGACTAATTCAGTCATTGGTACGATTTAAACAGACCAAGACGCTAGTAAAAAATATGGAAAATTGGGGGGGGGGTAATTTCTATAGATTAGCATGTATTAGGCATTCCTTAAGCCACGGCATTTGCCAGAATTTAAAAATATTAATTTAAGTGCGAAAACCGGTCAACACATTTTTTAGCTAATTTCATGGCACTGATTCTGAAAATGACCTTAAGTTTTCATGGTTAGCTACCGTTTGCTGTACTGAAATTGCTTATTTTTTGGAAAAAAAAATCAATTTACGATCTTGGCTGATAGCCAAATTTAGTTGATAAACGTTGGAGAAACCCATCAATTTTCAGGTAAGCCGAGCACTTTATGACTGTCACCTGAAAGAAACTATTTTTCTAAGAAAAAAGTATTTTTGAGACAAAATTTTTAAAATAGACGTACCGAATTTTTCCAATTCATCGCCAAAATTCAAATTAACTGATAAATTTTATCAGTAATACACTTTAGTAAACCTTATAATTAAGGTGACATAAAAAATGAAACCCTAAAATCTTATGTTTGATATTCATAAATTTATCCTTTCACTATTGGAGGAAAACAAACACATTGAGAGAATTTTGTTTTCACAGTGTGGAAAGAAACTCCAACTAAAGACACCGCAATTGAATGAACCTATTCCTTTGTATATGATACTGCTGGAGTATCAAAAGGGAATTAGCATTGAACATGACAGACAATCAAGAAAGAGAAAATTTTTACCATAGTTCTTATGTTCACGAAGGTTTTATTTCTGCTGTTAGTTTATTAAATGATTTGTTGAAAATACTCTGTTGGTCTTGGTATATTCAATCGTGTTATTTTTAAAGATTTACGATCTGATTGTTATTGCAAAAATAGTATTTCTCAATAAGCCGACCAATATTAGTTGGTTTAAATACGAATTAAGAGATTTCTACGATTTTATTTTGAGAAATATTGCCATTAGTCAATATCATATATACAGAAAACAAATGAAAAAAATGTTTTTTTTCCAAAAATGAGACATTTCTGTACATAAAAAAAACGCTAACCAAGAAAAAGTAAGGCCATTTTCAAATTCAGCGCCCTCAAATTAGCTAAAAAAGATATTTGGTGTCTTGACACCATTTCATTTTTTCTGTTGTTGACTAGTATAATGTAAATGCAATGTCAAATTGATTATTCACTTGTGAAAGTGTTATGTATATTTTGTTTTTATTTACAAATGTCAAGTTTGAATCTGTGCTTTGTGTGCTGCTAATGTTAGCCTTTTCTTCACTGGTAATATTATATAGTTGTAAATGACGTAAATTCAAACTTGACATCTGTTAATAAAAAATAAGTATAGATAACTCTGTATGACATCATGGATCGATTTGCTTAGTAGGCATTCGTTTATCTCGAGAGATAAAGTTAGCTCCCTGTTTGATCCAAATTCAGTCCTTTGGTGCTGAAACTAGTGTGACCTTTCCGGAGAGCAGGCCTGGGCAATGACAAGATTACATTTTTTATAGATTTGCTGTTTCCTTATAAGGAAACATTCAGCATTCATTAAGCGAATAGTTACCGTTACAGTTATAGGACGATCTGCCTAATTCCTATGAAAATTATATTAGACGTTTGTGAGATTGTGTAGAAATATTTGAAGATGAAGAACTATTTGAACTGTTAGGAAAGCTTAACTTTTTAAAAAAATCATTTCACCCTATGCAAAGCAGTAAAGCCACTAAGACCCAAGGGGTTAGTGAGTGTGAAAGAAGAAGAAAAAAGAGAAAGATTATTAAGGAGCGAGAATAAAAGAAGAGGAATCAAGGAGATAGTAGATAACGATTGACATTACATTTATATTTTAAAGAAGCCGGAAGAGAGTTCCACAAGCGAGAAGTACCAGAAAAAAAAAACTGTTAGCATAAAATTTACGGTTACATCCTGCTAATTCAAAGGAGACCGCGTTGCAAATCTAGTATTACGGTTTATTTTCTCGCATGTGTAACTCTCGTCTGGCTTTTTGCTTCTCAGTCAGCCTTGATCTTCAAACATTTAAATGCAATGTCAATCGCCATCTTCTGTCCTCTTAACACCTGTACTTTTATGTTACTTTCTCCCTTATATTTTTCTCAGACACTTTCCACACTTAGTAAACATTTGCCATGTTTTCTTATTCTTTCACACTCAGTAAGCCCTTGCCTCTTAGAGGCGTTATCGCCTTGTTTGAGGTGAAATGATAAAAAAAGGAAATTCTGATCAATACTAGAAAGAGCGATAACAGTTTTTTTTAGCATATTACCTCGTGCAAGGGAATAAAGCCACTAAGATACAAGCGATTACTGAGTGTGAAAAGATAAAAAAAGATATAAAGGAACGAGAGCAACAGAAGAGGAATCAAGAAGATAGTAGATAACGATTGACATTGCATTTAAATCTTTCAACATCAAAGTTGGCTGGAAAGCATGAAGCCGGAAGAGAGGTTCACAAACGAGAAGTGCGAGAAAAGAAACTGTTAGCTTAGAACGTACGGTTGCATCTTGCTAACTTAAATGTAAAAAGATTGAAACCTTGTTGCCAATCTAGTATTGCCCTTAAATTCATAAAGTATAGTTACTATAGCAAAGAGCGTTACTTACTACAGCATCGGAACAGTTACTACGGAAGTATTTGTAGAAAAGTCGCAGGTAATCAACGTTATGACGGTGGGAAAGTGATAGAAGCAGATACGTCAATTCAGGACCAATAATACTGCTGATTCTTCTTTGGATTTTATCAAGAATCTCTAAATAGTGATTTTCCAAGCGTAGCTTAGATGTGGCACTGGGTCAAAATTAGGAGGCACCCAGTAAGGATCGAACTCACTACTCAGTCATAATTGTTCTAGCGAGCCAAGCTTGCTAACCATTACACTGCCTCGAGGTACCCCAAGAATCTCTAAATATAGAGCAGGAATACTGAACCATATGTGGCAGCAATCTGTAAAACATGGACGAATGTTAAGCTATGTAAGGTAGCTTCAACATAGGAAAAAAATTGTCTCGCATGACAGTGAACCAATTTTTCTTAGCAGCAGACCTAACAATGAATTCAATATAACTATTCCACTTCGTGTCAGCCTAGAATGTAAGCCCGAAAAGGCGCAATGAGCCATTCTCATAAAGTTTAGCATTAGCGATGCTGATGAGAGTCAGGAAAGGATCTTTCAGGTTGGCAAGATATTAGAATAATACAGAACATATACTGTGAGAAAATAAATTCAATAAATGCCCAAAAATGGTAAGAGTTGTTAGACAAGGAGGCGTCTTCTCGCCAGACTTAAATTCAACCATTACATTGAAGCAATACTGAAAGAATTAGAAGTCTTACTAAGATTCATTGCAGAGTGAGTCAAAATTATGTTAACAGTAGTATGAGAGGATAAGTCAAAATCGTGTTAACACTAGTATGAGAGAATAAGTCAAAACTATATTAACACTAGTATGAGAGGATAAGTCAAAATTATATTAACACTAGTATGAGTGGATGAGTCAAAATTGTGTTAACACTAGTATGAGAGGATAAGTCAAAATTGTGTTAACACTAGTATGAGAGGATAAGTCAAAACTATATTAACACTAGTATGAGAGGATAAGTCAAAACTATATTAACACTAGTATAAGAGGAATCATTTATTCAGAGTTTACTGAACAGTCACCACCTGTCCACCAGCACGACTGATGTATAAAAGCAAGCGATCAACAGTACAATTTAGTGCCTTGACACTTATTTCACGGGGAATGTTTGTTATTAACCTTTTATTCTCTCCTTGAGTTCTTCGATATCTCTAAATTTTTTGTTATACGGGCGATCTTTTATCATACCCCATAACCAGAAGTCACTGGGTGTCAGATCAGGGGATCGTGGTGGTCATTGCCAACGGTCCGCGCCGCGGCCTATCCAACGATTTGGGAAACTTTGATCGAAACAAGCGCGACTAGTACGGGCAACATGAGGCGATGTCCCATCCTGTTGGAAATACTCTGCTCGTCTGATTTGTAGGCGATGTTATCAATGACAAACTCTTGTTGCATTTGCAGTCACTGTTGAAGTTGTAAAGAAATATGGACCAATTACACTCTGTGACTAAGAACTCAAGAACAGAATAAAACGTGTAATATCAAACATTCCCCTTGAAATGTGTTTCAAGTCAGTAAATTGTACTGCTGATCGCTAAGTTCCGAGCCATGTCTAAGCAAGTCAATTTTTGCGAGAGAACACGTCCAGAAGGATGCCATGAAGTAAAGATGAGACAACCTCCCACTTGGTTTTAAGTTGTCTTAAAAAAATGTCTATTTTTCTTTATCATCATCATCATCATTGTTATGGTCCGGTTCTTGTACCACGGTGATGGTCCAAGGTAGAACCAATAAAGAAGAACTCGAACACGGATATGGAATAAGACAGATATATTACAAACAGGAATATATACAGAGAAGTAGAAAAGTGTTAGTACGAACAATCAGGTTTAGAAGTAATTGTCTGAACGCGACTCTGTTTCGGACTGCCTCTGACTCGACTGACTGACTCGCTCGCTCTGACTGACAGACAGACTCCTGATGGACTTCACACCAGACTTCAGACTGAACAGTATTTAGTCACCACCCCCCACGAGGGCATCATGTGGCACAAGGCCGGTTTAACGTTGAATCTCCGAGCCCATGGGCTCGTTCAAAACTATGCCCATTGAACCCGTATAAACGGATTCAGGGCCGGTTTACCTCCCCGAACGAGACTCTGCCCTTCGGCTTAGCCTCGTTCGGGTTCCTCCCCGCCCGAAGGCAGATAGTTCAACCGATCAGCGGTTCGCCCAACTTCGGACTGAACAGTATTTAGTCACCCCCACCCCGAGGGCATCATGTGGCACAAGGCCGGTTTAACGTGGGATCTCCGAGCCCGTGTGATCTCCGAGCCCGTGGGCTCGGCATCTAAATATGCCCATTGAACCCGTATAAACGGGTTCAGGGCCGGTTTATCTCCCCGAAAGAGACTCCGCCCTTCGGCGTAGCCTCGTTCGGGTTCCTCACCGCCCGAAGGCGGAGAGTTCAACCGATCAGCCGATCAGCCGATCAGCCGGTCGCCCGACTTCGGACTGAACTCTCAGCTTCCTCTTGAGGCGCAGTATTTGTTACGTATGGAATAGTCCATTATGTTATTATGGGTAAGGTCCCATGACAATCATCAACCTTCAACCTCCCTGTGAACAAACCCTTTCCACACTGTTCGGTCCTGCATTGCTGTTCCCAGATCCCCAAAGTCCAACCCTGAGTCCCGAGCCTTGATGTCTAGGAGAATCAACATTTTCAAGAGGACACCTCCAGAAAGAGGCTACAGAAGCAAAGATGAGACGACCTCCACGTCCACTCGGTGACATTGGCCGGCAAACTGCAATCGCTTTTGTTTGAGCTTCTCTTTGACCCCTGCGTTTCTGAACAATTTTAACCCTTCTGCCTGAGCTCCTGAGTCAAACTTCACAAATAATTGGTATGTAATGTTTCACGGTAGATATTAAAAATAGTTACAAGTGTTTATCCACAGTTCAACCGTTGGCTGGGTATTAAGTCATTTTTTTCTACCACTGTTCAACCGGTGGCTGGATATTACGTCATTTTTCTCTACCACCGGTAAAGCGGTGGTCAGGACTCAAAGGTTTAAGAAAGATTGGTCAAGCGAGTTCAATGCCTGGACACAGTAGAGGTGAAGAAATATTTGGAGAGTTTAGTTACTAATGGGAATTAACTAAAACATCTAGAAAAAATCATAGTACGTGGAATTACAATCTAAAATATTTTTCGGCTTTAAATAACCAACAAGGAGTTTATAAGCAGTTAACATTAAACCAACATCTACGTTATGCATGTCGTTAAGACTTTTCAGTTTCTTACTTTATAACTACATAAAACAGACCCTCTTTTTTTGGTCCAGTAAAACAGTACCTCGTAAAGTCATAAAGGAAGGCAAATTTTCTTCAGCATTTTTGTTTAATTCTTGATTAAACGGTCGTTATTCGTGATTAGGATATAACATGCATTTATCGCGGAAATGATACTTTTCTTGAAAATTAACTTACAAAGACGTGAATAAAATTAGTTTTCAAGGGCGACAAACACCAAGCGAATAATTGTTTTTCTGTTTTTATAGTGTGCTGAACAGTCTAATGAAAACGCCAGAAGATAATAACACTTGACAGCGTCCGAAGTGCGCATTTGCGTGTCCACTCACGACTTCCTTTTTCGCCCGGCATCGAAATTGATGGAGTAAGGAGTTGAAATCGACGAACCGGAAGCGGTCCTCACAAACCGGCTCGACTCCCATCTGTGTGACTAGACAATCACACGAGAAACTAATAACAACATGGAGGTGACAATGATAGTCAGGAGCAGCATAAACTGTTCTCTTCCCCACTTTAGATGGTCCAAGGCACCCGGTCCCAGTGGGTCCAACTCTGCGACAACACATCCCTCATTGCACTAAGACAGGTGGAGCTGGTGTAGTTATTTGCGCCAGCGTGACAGTGGTCACGGAGATTGTGCAATGTTTGTCTTTTGCCTATATACATAAGTATGGGTAGGGAATCTCTACGTAAAAAAAAATAGTCGACTTTGTGTTATATCCTGCTTTTGTGGAAAGGCTGGGTACAGAGTTACTCATCATTATTGGCGAGCTTGGAATACTTTTCAAGAGCCTTCACCTAAAAAAGAACTGGAAATGTTTTAAGAATCGACGGCAGTTTTATTAAAATCTGCAAGAATAGCGAGGACTATTTTCTTTTATGCACTGTGTTTCTTCAAGACGTCGACGATCATGGATCTCCAGAACTTCCTATCCTTTGTAGCACTTAGCAATGGTTGTTTCTTTGCCAAACTTACCACCTCCTGTATTGCCATCTATTAACACAAGCTCTTCAGGCGTGTTGCCTTCCATTTTGTTTTTCGTTATGTTTTCTGAACGTCAATTTCTCCAAGCCGTCCTTCCTCGTTGTATGCAAACAGTTTAAACGATCTCTTTCTTATTTTAAGTATAATTGTCCTTCTTATTTCCATTTTTCTTAACACTTACTCGTTTCTTACGCGACCCGTCCATGATATTCTCAGCATCCTTCTGTAGAAAGACATTTCTAGTCCGTCAAGTTTTCTCTTCATCTGTGAGGGGATTGTTCAGCCTTCTCTGCTACCTCCTGGGTATGACGATAAACTACATCCACGTCCTAGGAAAGACGATAAACTACGACTGACAGCAAGGCCTCTGATCAGGAGGTTTTGAGGAGCGTTGAACCACCTCTTAATTGCTGGTGTTCCCAGGTTTACTCTGACCCGAGGTGGTAGCACCTGTTAAGGTCCCAGCTATGGGCAAATAGTTAACCCCCCCCCAAACCGGGGCCAAAACACTATGACAATGTAAAAATAAGTTTAAATACCAGAAATACATTTTTTGTAAAGAAATTATTACCAAAAATAAATTATTGAAGAAAAAATTATTACCAGCAATACATTTTTGAAAAACATATTACTGGCAATACATTTGTGGGAAAAAATATTACCAACTTCCTATCCTGTAATGCAAGGTAATTCTCCCACTCTTCTTCTGTTTCAATTGTTTTCTCGTTCTTTGTCTTTTTGAATTTTAATAGCCTGGTTGTAGGTAGCGTAGATGGATTTCGTGTCTGTATTTGAAAATGGCCTATGATATTTCTTTAAGGCGTTTTTGGAGAAAAAAAAATATTAGCAACAGTAAATTTTGGAGAAAAAATATTACCAGCAATGAAAATTTTGTCGGCAGTAAATGATCCATTGAGGTTGCCATACCATAAAACAAAATAAACGAAACCAAACTCAACCTTCTCTGCTAGACAAGATGATTGACTTTGCATTTCAGTTCATCGTTATCTCTTTGTTTATAACGAAATTTTCCTGTTGCTTATTAGTTTGCTTAGCTTTTGGAAGGCACCTTTGGTTATCCCCATGCGCCTTCGGATTTCGGTGTTGCACTTTTCGCCCTCTCTTTCCTTCCCATAAATTTAATTTGTTGTGCTTTCTTGATTTTGGCATCCCCAGTTTGTAATTTGCATGTTTGGCTGATCCCTTTTGCTAACTACCATGCATTCCGTCTTCTTGCAATTGATGTTTAGTCCTTTCTTCTCGCTTTCTGTTACTACCATCTGTCGGAGTTCTTGTATTTTTCTTTCTCGCTCAACACTGTGATATCTGAATATCTTATTCTCTTAAGTTTGTAGCCGTCAATGGTGAATCTTTGGAAGATTTCTAATTCTCTCGGAATCGAATCAATATATTGGTTGAATGGTTTCGGTAAGAAGACACACCACTTTCTAAACATTTCTTTTGGAATTTTAATAATCTGGTTGTAGGTAGCGTAGATGGTTTTCGTGTCTGTATTTGAAAATGTCCTCTGCTATTTCTTTAAAACGTTTATATCTGAAGAAGAGACTTGAAGCAAAAGAAATGTGATTCTTCAGAAGGATGCAGAGAACGCCATGGATCAAACCTTTTGAACTCTAATAGCCTGGTTGTAGGTAGCGTAGATGGTTTTCGTGTCTGTACTTGAAAATGACCTCTGATATTTCTTTAAAACGTTTATATCTGAAGAAGAGACTTGAAGCAACAGAAATGTGGTTCTACAGAAGAATGCAACGGATCGAGCAACCACAATGGCAATAAAAACGACGCTTATTCTTAACATTAGGAAGAGACAGTTGTGGTTTCTAGAACATATAATGAGGAAGGTGGGCTTGTAACTTTTTATATTCACATGATAGATTGAAGATAAGAGAGACAGAGAAATGTAAGGTAAACTTACCTGGTGAGCTTAAGTGAATGGATCGCCAAACAGTATGAGAGAGATGACAAAAATACAAAAGTTACTAAGGGACAGGAAATTGGGGGAGATATGATCGACATCACACGCCATATAAGGGAAGGTCCATTTCGGAATCGTGGTATTGCATTCAATTTGAAAGCTGTAGTTTGACATGTAAATAATAAAACAAAATATTTTTTCCTAAATCGTTACCGTTTTC